GAAAAAATCCTATTGTGGGGGGTAACATTTTAAAATAAAACAAAGAAAACGTGTACTTTTCATTTTATTATTCAATTTGTAGAACTACACTTAGTAATGTTGTCTCGTTAGATATTACAATGATTTGAAACAAACGCTATGTCAGGCAATAATTAAATAAAGACAACATTTTTATATTTTTTATTAAACTTTTAAAAATCGTGGTTTTATACTATAAACAATTCGTTTGTGGCGTTTATATATAAATCACAACCACATGGTCCTCGTAATAAATAGTTATTCTTATATCGAGCTTGGTTCGCGAAGACATTTATAAATGTTAGTAAACTACGTCACTTGCAAAAGTGGGTAAAGGTACGCCTTACGGAGCCGAGGCTGTGCCTAAAAAGGTAAGACAAGCGCTCTCAATATGTACATAATATGTTGGAGTCAAGGTGTACGACCTCCAGACGGCGCAAGCTGATTGAACACACTCTGAACAGACACTAATAACTACAATGAGCGAAGACCGATGTACATTAATGAATCACAATACAGTTAAGTGTCAACGCACTTCACTCGCTGCATAGAACGGCAGCCTCGATCGTCACGGACTAAAACTTCAACTGCAACCAAAAGGCGAACGCCAGCGGCAAGCCTCACCAAAAATAGCACCGGCAGTGCACTGGGACACCTTAATGATGAACTCTCAACGGACAGCGAGCTTGGGCAACTTCATTGTTCAAATCGTTGGCACAGATTTAATTTCAGAATAATTTTCTCATTCTAAAAACGAACTTATATATGCCGGAAAAACACCATCACATTTGCTCTATGTTAACTCAAAGGCTGAAGGTGTAAAAAATAATTTTAAGGTTTTAACACTCTAAGAAGTTGCCAAATCTCATCTTAAACTGATTCCAAATATTCAGAGCTGGCATTGCGCCAGTAATATACGTCAAATGGCACCTAGCTTGTGACGTAGATAAACATGTTTGAGACAAAATACTAACACGTAAATGATTAGAATTGTAATACATAATCATCATCAGCCCACTGATATACATGGACCTCTCCCGTTATAAAGAGGATTTGCAATAATCTTCATACTTGGCAGATGGATTGACGATCGCAGCAACAGATGCCTCACGCCATTAACTCTGCTCCCCGGCGCTACTATTTTTGCCGTCTGGCTTAAACGGGATGGTTATACCGCCAAATATTGAAAGCTATCAATTTTTTCTAGCATTTTCCATATTTCGCATAGCCTTACTGACACGGTGCGAAGTGGGGAGATGGATTCTCTTATGGCGCGTCTCCACCAAAGTTTTCAACATTTGTCAACACGTGTTGCCGACAAATGTTTCTGTCAGGCGCGTCTCCACCAAAAATATTGACAACATTTATGTTTCCGACATGTTGACAAATCAACAAAAGTTGACGACATTTGTTTCAAAATGTTACATGAGTTGGTAAAAAATTACTTTGCGTACATCTGCTCGATAAAATAAAATGATGTGTCTTACCTATTTTGAAGAGCACCTCCCGCCCTCCCTCAATTGCGTGCACTATCCCCATCACCACCAATCCCAGCACCACTACTCCCAACACCACTACACTAATAAAGACACGCCACTGACAACAATACGACAGGTGTTTCGGCTCTACACCAGGCATCTTCAGGTGATGTAGACTCTGCAGTGGCTGACCGCTAAGATAGAAGACCGTTTAGGTAACTAGGTAAGACACATCATTTTATTTTAACGAGCAAATGTACGTGAAGTAATTTTTTACCAACTTTAATATAATGGACTTCCGCAAAGTAATGCCTGATTCTATTAATTATCTAATGAAAAATACCACTTTCAAACGGACCCCTGAATCAAAAAGATGTTGTTCCACACCCCCAGTGTTTTTGAAAGACCTATCCAACGATACCCCACACAATGGCATAGACAGGTAAAAAAAATCACTTATATGGGAGGTACCCAAAATAAAAATGTTTTTAAGATTTTATTTCACAGTATTGTAGGCGTGATTAATACCTATATATATACCAAATTACAGATTTGTAGCACCTAGGGTCTCTGAGTAAAACCGAGGATGGACAGACGGACAGACATGGAGAAACTATAACTATTCCTTTTTATGCAACTACGGAACCCTAAAAAAAGAGAGATTTGCTTTTTATGTGTCAAGCAGTTTCGGCCATAAAAATTTAAAGTTAAATGTTGTCCTAGACAAACAGCTAACCTTAATTAAATCTGTAAGATGTTGATGATAATACCCAATTTGAACTGACAACTGTTTTGAATATCTCAACTGCACAAGACTGTACATAGTAAGCAGCAGGTACACATAGACATGAACTTATTTGTCTGAACTCATATACTACCATAACATTTATGCTATAAGATAACAAGCAGCCTAGCATGCAGTGCCAGAGCTATGGAGACAATCACAAACCTTACAGACCAGAAAATTGCAAATTGCATGCCACAAATTACAACACATTAGGCTGTGTTTCCACCTGCAAAAAAACTTCTGCAAGAAGTGACTGACAGTCTGTCAGACACATAGCAAGCGCACTTGCAACAGTTTGTCAAGCATTTCCTGCGAGTGGTAGCGAGTGCAATAGATTGCAAGTCGATTATCAATCTAGTTTCATATATCTCGCAAAAAGTACACACAATTTAAAATGGGTATTCATTAATTATTGATGAGCATCTCTGTCTTTATAACATGCTTTATCTAGATCCCATCTATCAGGCCGATTATTTCACGTCCCATATTGATAATCATGTTTACAATGAAAGAAAAGTAAGCGTTGGCATTATTATTAGTTTAATATAGATCAAACTGTTTTATATAGATCAAAAATTAAAAGTTTTATTTATTATTTTAAGTTATACCTAACTTGGGATATGGCAAATAAATTCTAAGATTGTATTCCAACCTGCAACAACACTTTGAACTAAATGACATAGCCTTCACAACATTTCTATAGATCTTGTGTGTAAATACCTCTGCTATAACTTGTGATAGTATGTTTTGCAAGCTTCTCACAAAATATTTATTGCAGAAAAAAATTGAGAGTTGATACAATATGTAAACAGTATTGCAAGAACCTTATGCAAGACTTCCGCAAGTGTTCTTACAGGTTTCCACCCACAGCCGTAGCGGAGGTACTTTATTGTTTTTTTTTTATAGGATAAGGGTGACAAACGAGCACACAGTCCACCTGATGGTAAGTGCTTGCTGTGGCCCATAGACATCCACATCTATCCTCGATAACAAATCAAAATGCAGATGCGTCATCACCCGTTAGGACTAAGATGGAATGCCTCTTTTCCAGTAAAATGGGTCTCCGGTTCTCTACACTCACCATATGAAACACAGCAAGGTTAAGCTGCTATTTTACGCTGGTATTCTGTCAAAGCGTGGTCTTTCCCCGGTCGAGCCGACCCATTCGTGCTACAACCATAATATAGCTGCAGCATGGCCCTACCAGGTCAAATTTTTTTTTTTAAAAACGTTACCCCCACACTAGGATTTTCTCCTGTATCGTGGAGGCAGTTTACAAACACAAATTTCACAAGGACAAACATCCAGACCCGGAACAATCATTTGTAGGCCATACAAATACTTGTTCCGTGCGGGATTCGAACCCGCGCCCCCCAGCGCAGCAACTCATTGCTAAGCCACTGCGCCACGGAGGCGTCGATTATTGCTCTACCACGTTAATTTATTTTGAGTCTGGCTATAAGTCAAACTCAAGATTCGTAGAGTTGTAGCTAGAGACTCATAACAGACCATACAATCTGACAAGTTTAAATAATGGCTTTATATTCTCTAAATTTCTATCAGACAGGCCTTTCAGTGTTTTGTATGAATTGTTTGTTTTGAAATTTCTTTCTGTGAATAAAGAAAACTCAATAACAAAAGTTGATATTAAAAAACATGAACATAAAGTTCCTCCAGTAAATTTATTTTATTACACAACCCAGTGTTATACATTATTATAATATGGGATAATTTTTTCTTATTAATCTTTATATTCAGGCAAATATTCAAATAAGTTACTTATATCTGGAAGTTAAGTAACTGTGTATCTATTAAGTGGTATGTTGTTAGCAAAATATTATATTATGTAGAAAAATAATTGTGAAATATTAAAAGGCATTGAGAATTAGAAAGTTATCTCAAAATTAAATATTAATGATTTTTAAGTAAATATATAAATATTACACTTCTAATTTTAACAGTACTTTCAAATTTTATTGGATACCACATCATATAACTATGTTTATATATTTTTTATTTTTCTTAGAAAATACAACATAAATGAATTAAAATTATTGTTGTATGAATAAAATTGTTCAATTACTCCACTTTTATCAGTCAGTCAGATTAGAATTTTATTCTATCCCTTTCAAAAATAAACTAGATGTCAGCAAACAAGCAATAAATTTAAAAAGCTGGGGAAATATAAATGCTATTTTACTACTGTTAAGTGTTACATTACCAGTAACACCAGTGCCTGCTTGCTGAGTGAACAACTTTTGCTTGACTAAATAAAATTCACCATGTCTGATGCTGAATAGGTGTTCCACCGATCAAATTAGTCAGTTATAAAATATAATATGCACAAAAGTACAATTGGTTAGACCGAATTCAATATAAGTTTTATTGATCGAGATATATAAGCAAAAGTAGATCTAGACAAAAACAAATTAACCATTTCATCATACTTATTACGCTTTAATAAATTCGTAAATGAATGAAGTTCATAGGTAAGTCTATTTTATTTAAAATGTCGTTTTTTTCGTGAAGTTTCTAGCATTTCGAAAATAAAGGAGAATTGGAAGGAAGTCAATAACTTAAAAGCGATAAAAAAAAATTAGATTAAAATAGATATTTGTAAGACAAAAGACAAAGAAAAAGCTGACAATAAAAATAAAATTAAAGGTCATAACAGTTAAAACAAATAAATAATTTATAAAATTTAAAATAATACATACATCACCAATCGGGAAATTATCGACGATATCATATTAATGCTCACATAAGAAAATCACTCAAAAATAACCACAAAAGTAAACATGACAAAACACAGCCGCTCAGAAATAAGACTAGTCCGCCATGATTGAACTGAACTGATGTTTTGATCACGTGACCTCAGTATTCAGAAATCAATATAGCAATATCGTTCAGAAACAGAACACTCCTAGCGGAGTTCAGAAACCACTACCACAGAATAAATAATAGCTACTACTCATATCTTTTGAAATATTGTTAAATTGTTTATTTAATATTATATTCAAATTTAGATCAATTTTCATAAAAATAAGTGTTGACGTTATAATAGAACTTTAAACAACTAATAATTTAATGTCCTTGTTGTAAAGAGCTTAAATAAAATAAAAAATTGACATACAAAAATATTAGTACCTATTTATAAAGACATTTGTGTCAGTAAAATATAATTAATGTTTTAAAGTAGTTTAATGTTCATCAATTTGTAAAACAAATAAAGATTGAGACTTCCCATAGACAGTAATTTTTACACAGTTTTACTTTCCCATACAGCGCCATCTCTTAAAGGAATGTTGTTTTTTAATTATTTCTCCATCTAGCGGAGTTTAAAAGAAAACTAAAGTTTCATGAACTAGTATGAACGGTGGAGCAGAAATTATAACCCAAACAAATGAAAAATACAAGCAGATCGCTACTAAGTATAGGATTTTGACTATGATTTCAATTTCGTCAGTGAAACAAGTGTAACACTATAATACCACCAATTTTAAAATCAGTCGGTAATATAATACCGCTATTCGGGGATACACCCGTTTTGAAAGTTGGGTTGCTGTCGTTGTCGTCGGTGTAAATGTAGATCTACTGATACCTACTGATGTAGTTTCCCTTCGCTCTACGAAGAGTGGAACGTGTAATGCGTTGTGTTTTTTGACAATTGTGTAGTTTTTGCAGTGAATAATGTGATTGTGTAGTTCGTTATGGCATTTAGATACCGCGAAGATTTAGTTGGCAAACGATTTCTCTCTGTGAGTGGTGTGGCAAAAATTAACGTGAATAAAGTTTCCGAATGGGGATGGAAAGCTGGTATTATCAGAGCAGCTTCACTCAAAGATAACAAGAATAAAGAGCTCCAGGTAAAGCTTGATGTTTTGTCAGAAGTTTCAAAGATTGTATTAAGTAAGGGTTTAATTCATAATTGAGCCTAATATTGCTTCTAAACAATATAAACCAATTTCCTTTCTTCACGACTATAGGAGATATAAATTTCTATAATAACAAGAAACCTAGCAATTAGTCAGCATGTTTCAAACAACCTTCTTGATGTTTAGAATAAATAGCTATAGAAGTCATTGAAGATTGGCTATGATCGAGAAAGACTGTGCCAAGTTATCTTTACTTCTCTTCGAATATGTAAAATCAAATCTCACATGATGAAACTTATTGCAAGATTACTTTTAAAATATATAAGGGCTATAGCATTTTTCTTAATTTTTGGCATCTTGAGATAAAATTCTGCCAATGTCAAGTCATTCATGTCATGGGAGTGACAAGTAAATGATATTATATTGAGAGTTCTCAACTTTGCGAGAGGATTTACAATCTACCACAGAAAAGACATCACATTTTATTAAGTTTATTTGTCATTACACATGTTCACAAATACCTACATACTACTATTATAAACATGATTATTTGAAGTCTATACTTTTACTATCAGGATAAATTCACGCGACTCTTTATGCCAGTAAGTTCACAATAACAGCCTTGGCAATTCCACTGTTAGAGATAGACCTATCCAATAATGCTGCATAACTCTGAAGATTTATCCATACTTAGTTAACACTGCAACTCGGAAATCGCTAGTTCGTGTTTATAAACATAATCAACATCATCTATAAGGCAATAAATGCGTTTTACAAGTAAGACCCTGTCTATCACGAACCTATACTAGGCACTTTATAATGTTCGATTAGGGGCACTAGTTTTGTTCTCGTTATGCAATTATTATCGTAAGTAGGTACGATATAATTCAGCAGCTATTTAATTGGCACTCCAAATTTTATTAATGACATCAGGATTGAATGTAGTAGATTTTGGTCACTCATTTACAGCCGCTATGGCTCCCTAAAAAAGAAAATGGGTAGACAACACACGAAAGCATAATATTGTTCTCTCATCGTAGGTACTTGTGATGTTTGATGACTTTACCTACAAATACGATGTAAATAATAACTAAAATTTTCTGATACAGGTTATATTTATAGGCTATCAACATGATCATCATCATTATGACAGCTCTTCAGAAGTCCACTGCTGAATATAGGCCTCCCCCTGAAAACCACAAAACTCGGCCCTGGGCCACCTACATCCATCGATTATCTGAATGCCTTATCGGGTCGTCATTCCATCTACTGGCATCTTAAGCGTCCTCAAACGGCCAACAGTACTGGCCATAGAAGAATTTAATTAAAATATCCCAAACCACAGATTTTTAAATAAGTATGGACTCTGGATTCATCTTAACAAGAAAAAAACCGTAAGGAAATAACATTGGAGAGGCGGTTATTTAAGACTAGTTGATACCTACCTGCGACTTCGTCCTTACACACATCACTGAACACGTAGTGTTTATAAAAATAGTTGTTTCTTAAAACTTTAATAACTTTAAATGAAGATATCGCAATATATTTTTTTTAGATAAGTGCCAAGTGTCTAAGAAATAAAACTTAGAAAACCTAATTGAAATCAAACCAGTAGTTTATCCGTGATGCGCGTACAACTGCAAACCTCTTTATCATTTTATTTATATAGATGGTTGTTCTGTAAACCTTACCGAACTATTATTGTACCTGTGTAGTTTGTACCCATAGTTGTTTAAAAAAGGAAATGTTGTTATTTTGGTGCTAGTTTTCAAAGTTTGTTCATAATTATGAATGTATTGGCATATTTAACGTTAATAGAGCAAAATAAACGACGCGGCTTTTCCGTTCAGTGTTACTTGTATTATTGAACAGTGTTTGTCACGTAGCACTTCCGCAATTACGATGTCGCAATAACTAACCATCCGATTTGTTTACATCAATAGGCGTCCGTCCAGTTGTATGCTACGTATATTATCGTGTGTAAAACATTTGAAAACCGAATGCACATGGCGCTAAGGTCGTCGACCCCGCTCTCACCGCGTTCGATGCACCGCCTACCGCACGCACCGTTTGAACCGTGCCTCAACTCTCCCAACTCAAACATGGAGCTAAGAAAAAAAAGAAAAAGAAATCATAAACGATCATTGCATTCGAGCCAAGAATCTCGTTCTTATTCGTTTCTATTTAAAATACGGTAAAGTGGCGCGCTGGAGTCGTGATGTTATTAAAACATCTAAGACATTCGTTTGATTTTAATATAAATCGTTCCAGTTATATGCCTACATGTATGGACAACAGATTTTGTGCCAATGTTGTAAATACAACATTCTGTTGATTATATTTTTGGCGAAATTAAAATAATTTAATTAATTTACGCAGTCAAGATAAATATTTCATCCTTTTCGTGAAGTTATTGATTATTTACATTGTAATAAACAAATAAAACTTAATGTATATTTATCGACAGCTGACTTGTCAATATTTAGACTTTCCGAATTGCAATGGCTTCATCCTTAATCGCCTCCTATGGTAGTCTCATATTCTGCTCATCTTACACTACTATTATTGCTTTCGGTATTTTTTTTTTATGATTGGCGGTTTTAAGTCAGATTCTTTTAACATAAATATCCGTCATATTATATTCTTCCCATAGACCGCTAGCGACCGCTAGACCGCGTGCGACCGCAACCGCGGAGCCTGCACCACAGCTGTCTCTTCAAAACATTCTTAGTGCTTGTACAAGTGATAGTGTCAGTGCCAATCAAAACATAACCCTATACACGGAAATGAAATATATAATATTATAGTGATGAATTCACTTGCACTTCCGTGTTAAGGTTGTTTTATAATTGCTTAATATTTTTTGTATCAAAACTTTGTTTATCAAGTAAAAAAATATTATGAAGAGAGTAATAATGTTCTTGCTTTTGCATTACTATTGAAGGTTAAAAAAATTGAAATGTAGCCCACTATTCTTCGATTTATATAGTGAAAGAAAAAAGGTCTCAAAATACAGCCTGTATATAAAGTTATGACCTGCTAATGAAGGAAGCCGATGGATGGAGGTAGTACAGGAACTAGATTTTAGCAGTTTTTAGGGGAGGCCATTGTTCAACAGGTGACTTGTGATGGGTAACTGTAATGATAATAGTGGTGTGTACCAACACGCATTCTCTTACAACGAAGTTTTAAAGGCCAACGAACTAACATTAAGTAGCATCTTCTTATCGATTTCTACCCCCATTCTTCCTACCGCTTAGCAACGGTTCACCCCCAGTTAATAAACACACCTGTTAATTTCAGTGTTTTGAATTCTGCTAGCTCTGTAAACGAGTGTTTGGTTGTGTTAATATTACCTCGCACTCTAAAACATTTACGAATGGACTAAGTGCAACTATAGTTAAATAACAGTCTTATTACAAAAAAGTAGTTTATAACGAGTCTTAGGTTTAAAATAGAACCTGTTTAAATAAAGAAGTCTCGTAGAAAATATGCGAACTAAAATGTCAGCGCGAACTAAACGACTGTGACTGTGGAAGCCGAAGCTATCCTCTTTATCTCCTTCGTCAAAAAGACTCTCCTTTAAGTTAACCGAATATTTTTGTTATAAGACCGAAGTGTCGAAACCTTAGAGAATAAATAAGCAAGCAAGCTATAGCTTGCTCTTCCGCTTTCCACTGCTGCTAAATAATTGTATTAGGTTAAAATAATATGAGCAAGGTTTTGGTGCTGCGGTCGTCAACTCAACGACGGCAATTATGGATAACTCTTCCAAATCTAATCAAATCAAATACATTTAATGTGGAACATGCTTAGACCATGTGAATGGTCTAATACTCTAAATGAACATGAGTTACAAAAGATCTTATTACTA